AGTATTAAGCACAATCAGTGTATATCTTTATTAAAAAATGTCTGAGATTTTTATATCAAATAAATGCACATATAACAATAATGCAAAAAAAAAATCAAATTAATATCTTAGAACTATGAACTATATATATTTTATATAAAATATGCTTATATTAATAATTACACATAAACGTAATTAATGTAGATATACACGATAATATTAATATTATATTATTATATATATCTATATTAATAACGAAGAATAAAAATTAAATTAAACATTACAAAAATGCATTGCAGGAATTAATGTACAGCGAACCATCTCGCTGTGCTTTCTTGTTTCAATCTTACAATTGACTATGCTCCAATTGCACACTTGTAAAACATTCTCGCCTTACAAAATCATGGAGAGGTCTGTCTATAGTGCAATGTGCTTCGTTGAAAACTTAAAATGCAATAATATACTACGTGACGTTGAAGTTACAATATTAGAAAATTGGTGATGAGAAGAATAATTGACTATGATTGATCAATTTCCTACAATTTAAGATCATTATAATTTTTATTGTAGACTTCCTATTACTATTTGCAGTATATGAGGTGTCATATTCAAGCAGTCATAGCCAAGCAGATCCTTAGTATGTTTTCAGTATTAGGCAATAGTCAAGTGTTGTCTGTTTAGGTAAAGAAGTTCTTGAAGCCTTCATCAAAATGTCTGGTTCCATTGGTAAACTGTACAAACGTCCTTTCACTGTGTGCGTAGAGGGCAACATTGGAAGTGGTAAAACAACATTTTTAAGTCATTTCAAGAAATTCGACAATGTTACTGTATTAGAAGAACCTGTTGAACTTTGGCGTGATGTGTGTGGGACGAATCTACTGGTGAGATAGAAAATATTTTTTCTTTAAAACTTAAGAAACAATTTAATATAAATATTTAATATTTTTGTTGTTAAATCTTAATTATTTACAAAGACTTCACAACAAATAAAAAGATGCGAAAATGTTATACCGAATGATTATTTAAGACACTAATATTATTAAGCACAATCAGTGTATATCTTTATTAAAAAATGTCTGAGATTTTTATATCAAATAAATGCACATATAACAATAATGCAAAAAAAAAATCAAATTAATATCTTAGAACTATGAACTATATATATTTTATATAAAATATGCTTATATTAATAATTACACATAAACGTAATTAATGTAGATATATTAATACGATACACGATAATATTAATATTATATTATTATATATATCTATATTAATAACGAAGAATAAAAATTAAATTAAACATTACAAAAATGCATTGCAGGAATTAATGTACAGCGAACCATCTCGCTATGCTTTCTTGTTTCAATCTTACGTACAATTGACTATGCTCCAATTGCACACTTGTAAAACACCCTCGCCTTATAAAATCATGGAGAGGTCTGTCTATAGTGCAATGTGCTTCGTTGAAAATTTAAAACGCAATAATATACTACGTGACGTTGAAGTTACAATATTAGAAAATTGGTGATGAGAAGAATAATTGACTATGATTGATCAATTTCCTTTAATACGATACACGATAATATTAATATTATATTATTATATATATCTATATTAATAACGAAGAATAAAAATTAAATTAAACATTACAAAAATGCATTGCAGGAATTAATGTACAGCGAACCATCTCGCTATGCTTTCTTGTTTCAATCTTACGTACAATTGACTATGCTCCAATTGCACACTTGTAAAACACCCTCGCCTTATACAATCATGGAGAGGTCTGTCTATAGTGCAATGTGCTTCGTTGAAAATTTAAAACGCAATAATATACTACGTGACGTTGAAGTTACAATATTAGAAAATTGGTATGACTGGTGTTTGAAAAATGCCAATATAGAAACTGACTTGATAGGTACATATGATGTATGGATTTTATGAGAAATTATAATTGAAGAAACATCTATTGTATATATTTATTTAATTTATTTCTATTTTTTGCTAAATAGTATATTTGAGGACAACACCTGAGATCGTATACGAAAGAATGAAACAACGAGGTCGAAAAGAAGAGAACGCCATCTCGTTAGAGTATCTGAAGCAAATCCATCAGGTCCATGATGACTGGCTCTATCATCAAATTTTAAAGCCATTGCCATCGCCGGTTATAACTATAAATGGTGATCGAGAGCTACATGAAATGGTGGAGGAATTTGATAAATGTAAAAATGAAATCTTCAGCAAGGTAATAGACGAAAGCGATGTAAATAATACGATGATTACGGTATCGACAAATCGCGTGTTACCCAAAATTAAAGCTGTTTCAGATTAAATCGTAAAGTAAAAGTAATAATTAATTTAAATATGATTGAAATAAACATGCATTTAAATTGATTAATTATTACAACTTTGTACATTGCACTATTTTCATTTCACTGGTCGCATTTATTACTTTTATTGCATATATTTATTTCTCTTTTCATCATATTTATAATATGTTAAAGAAAATACGTAATTGACCAATTATTTTATATTAAGGGATTAATTTTACATTTTGCCAGTATTCAAATTACAAAATTAAGGTAATTTAATTTATTAACGATAAATTTATATCTGACTCAATATGTGTTTAATTGAATTGTCATTGATATTTATTCTGAATTATTATTAGTGAGAGAGATTTGTTGACATTTTAAATAAAAATTCCTTGTAACGTACTAGATACAATTAAATTCTATCATTGAGTACAAAATAATGTTAGTATCAAAGAATTAGAAAACAAAATATTTGTGAAGATATTGCGTGATAAATGATAAACTACTTACAAAAAAATTGTTAAAACACGAGAGTACTTTTATTAGAATATTTAATATATCAAAAATTTTTTATTCTTTTTTATTTAAAAGTGTTTTGTAAGACGTTTGGATGAAAGGAAAGAATTACAAAAATGTATAGAATATATATTAATTTATCTAATAAAATCTAAGAAATTAAAAATATAAGAATAGGAGAAAGAAAGAAAGTTATTATAGGACGTTGTATCTACATGCATACACTTCAATTTATGTAATGCCTGATTTTATTGTGTAACATCAAAGGCGTATTTATATGGACTTTGTACAATGACTAAAAGAAATACATATTGTTTGGAGAATTGCATGTTCATTTCTACTAGATTTTATAAAATTAGGATAAGTATAAAAAAATGTATGTATGTATACACACACACGCGTGCGCGCATTGGAATATTACACATGTATATTGCGCAAAGCGACAAGTTCGTTCGTGATGCATTATTAACCAGATCATGTTCCTACTTGAAACGCAGGCTCAATGCGATTCCATAATGCCATATCGAAGACTGAATACGAATTAGTCTAGAACAATGTTTTGTCAATCTGATATTTAGATGAATGTATGATGTGTCGATCTTTGCAATCAGAATGATGCATCTATAAATTACGTGCTAAAATATGTATAAAAACAGTGAAATGATATTTCGAGTAAAAAAAAATAATCACAATCGTTTACGTACAAAGTAAGTACAAGTGTATGTACAAGCTTTAGGTAGAGATTTTTATTTGCCGCGCCCAACTAAGACGGATTCTTGCGAGCTACAACTAATCGCTCGACGCAATCGTACTCCTGGCAAGACCATAGTATGCTAACTAACGTGCCGAGTTGAGCATCCCGTGTGTTGGCTTGCTTCCAATCAAGCAATAACTGATAGATTACCTGAAATCACATATGGATTAAAATTAACATAAATTGTTATTAATATACATTTACAAGAAATTTGTGAATTTTACATGAAACGTTTAATTACATGAATAATACTTAATGTTTTATTAATATTAGGTGTTGGAATTAATTCGTAGCGTTTTACAAGTGATGGGAAGTACTTTCATTAATGTATTTTTTAATGCTCATGTGAAATAAATAACATTCTTTCATTAAAAAACGCTACGAATTAATTCCAACACCTAATAGTAATCAGTCGTAAACGAATGAATTTTAAAATCTTGTTTATACAAGATTACAGTCTGATAAAAAAATTACTAAGATTGAATCATTCGCGATAGAATATCTGATTCTTAGAGTTTGATATTCACCTCGTCGATACCCTTGTGTCTATAATTCTCCTCGAATTGATCGATCTGTCCGTCCGAATACGAGAGTCTTCTCGCGACGTCCCGCCATCCGTGTCCAACGTGTGTTTTAAGAATGAACATGTCGTCGAACCCGAGCTCTTCTTCGCACGTGCTCAATTCTTCCACATTCTCGGGCATCGGCCGATGCTTCAGTTTCGAAGCCGTCTCGGACTGCGTCGCGTTATTATTCGCCGGGTACTGATTCACATTACATATGTAACTCGTGCGCGAGCCGATCTTCACTCCATTGGAGTTGACTATGTTATAATTTACCACATTCGTGCCTTGTGCTGGAAATTAATTTCAAAAAATTATTAAAGAAATATCAAATTTATAATTACATTTAATTATTTAAAAAGTGAGATGCCATATAAAATTTTCTTGCGAATTCTGTTGCATTCGTTAAACATTTCCGTGAAATATTCAGTCTTTAATACAATATTTTAATTAATCGTTACATGATTATAAAAATTCGTCTTCTCCATTGATCGCGTAACTAAGGCGCTTAGATAACGAGCTTTAATTCTTTGATATCATCACTCAATCTGTTTCAATATTGCAATTATCATACGCGTTATATTAGTTATTCCATCACAACGAATAATCTTGAGATTTGAAACAGTGGAAAATTTGCATGACGTAAAATTACGGCTGCTATTATGATTCTGCTGAGACGATAAAGTCTCGTAAAATATTTTACGATATGAATACGTTGTTGCGCGTAAAAACTGCACATTTAAAAAAATGTTGCGAACGGAATAATTTATACTGCAATTTTTTAAAGAATCGAATACCATAAAAATACACAACAGCCAAAAAATACTATCTTGTATCCATTTCTTTAATACTTTTATAAATAGAAATCGGCAATTTGGTATTCCCCAAGTTTACGCTTTTAATCCTGATAAGGCATCTCATCATCAATCATACAAATATTTATAAGAGGAATGTATGGAGCGGCGTATTTTCGTTTTGATAAAATCGCGACATCTATACGGCGTTCGTCTCTTAACAATTCTTCTCCATTAAAGTAAATTATAAATAATGCAAATATCATACATCAACTTGTCGAAATGCCTACTTAGCATTGTGTAATCTCTAATCGCATTTTGCCTTTTTATTTATTTAATGAAATTTATTTCCATTTACAGAACTAAGTCTAGTTGCATAAATATAGAATCACACTAACAAATTTTCAAAAAGTCTCTGCACACAAAGATATCTTTTATTAAATTATTACATCCATATTGTCTATTTCTGTAAAAAAAAAAACATTTCGCAAAAATATTCGTCTTCTTCACTGTAAAAAAAAACTTCGAAATAACTCGTAAGGATAAGGAAAAATATTTTAGATAAAAGTTATAAAAGCAGTAAAAAATACTTGAATACAAAATAAAATTCTAGAATTGCTTCGTATTTAAAATTATATAAAGACTTGTTAACAGCTCGATAACGTTTTTACTACAACTTACAATATTTGTATTTTGGTTTCTTCATCCTTGGTCGTTTATATTCCTTTGATTCGCTCGTCGACCTCGTATCGCTGTCTTCCGGCTTTGTACAAAAATTGGTGGGTGTCGTCGGCCTTGCGCCGTTCGGCATTGATTTTTGCTCTTGCATCGACATCACGTCCTCCTGCTCCTTTTCCGGCGTGGCAGGCATCGACTTTGATTGCGTTTTCGTCAATTCCTCGTCCGAAGTCGGTGAAAGATTGTGCATGTAGCTTCCGGTCCGCGGCGGATCCGGTTTCGCGTCTGTCGTCAACATATCGTGAAATCGGCGCGACAGTTGAGACAGGATTGGCGTTTTCTTAAACGCTCGATGTGCCTGCAAATGATGTCTTAACGTTAAAATATGTGCTTTAAAGACAATGTTCTGATGAAATCTTTTTGAATAAGGACGAAATATAAGCATGATTATAAATTATAAAGAATGATTACGACGTTTAATGCGTCTTAATAAAATATTCCTAATGTATAATTAAATAAAAAAACGAGCCATGTTATAGCATATTTATCCTTGACTCTTTATTATTCACGTGGAGTATTATAAATTCATGATTTTATAAATTCATTGAATATAGATATGAATGCTATATATATATATATATATATATATACACATTTAATACAAATTATTTCGCAATTAAAAATTTTTTGCATTTATCTAAAGGATGTATAGAATATTATCCATTTTTATTTAATTATAAGTCATTAAAGAGAACAAGGAAAATTGAAATATAATGTGTGTTAGAAGCATACACGACTAATTAAAAATAAACCATAATACAATAATAAATGCTTTTTCCGCAATTGATATTGTTTTTCAATTGAAAAAAAAAATGGTTTGCAATATAAAAGTTATAAGCAACCGAATTAAGTTGAGTATCTACTTAAGTGTGTTGTTCTCGTAGTGTAGCGCTTGAGAGGTAATCCAATTTTTACATTTGCAGTTAGAAAAAATGCACAACATTTAAAACACACGTTTTACTCATGTGTTTTCAAGTTTTATATTCGTTTCGCTACACGCGATATTTCTCAATGCCGCAACTAACGTCAAACCACTCCTTACATTATTTCTCGTTAAACAGATATAGTCAAGTAACCAAGCGTTTCCTCGGAGAGACTAGTGTCATAACGAAAAGTATGACGCAGCACTGTCAAAAGTGTAGAAAAATATTTCACGAAAGTACAAATTTATGTACATTTTATGAAAATTAGTTTATCGCTTCTTTTTCAACTCGTATACTTTTTAAAATTTAATTTTAGTAGGTCTAACTTGACAATATATATTTTAGGTTGTCTGTTAATTTAATACTTTATAGGATTATAGTAATAAAATTGAAATTGTTTTGATTACAAACAAGCTCTATGATATTTGTATTGAAGATGAATAAAATCTGTTGAATGAATCTGTTTTTCTGCTCTCACGGATGTGCCATTAGCCATTATTGTAATTATATGTGATTCTAAAATTAACAATCCACTTATCCCATGTATAATACTTCCGGTGCTATTGTCAGATACATACAAACATCATTCGCTTACATAGTTATTCTTTGGAAATAATAAATAATATTCCGGTCTGCGAAAAAGTTAGCAATATAAAATTGCAATTATGTTATAATTGAAAATATTGTCTTATAATTGAATACGTATAGATGATTTCACATGAAATGTTCGGTTGAAGATTTAGAATGTTATTGAAGATAGAGATCTTTGTGAAGCTTATATTCGTACAGTATTCAAACATCGCAATTATATAATAGTCAAATTTAAATTTCGTATCCATTTCATTAATATATTTCTAAAATATTACAAAATAAACACAATTTTGTCTCACAATTCCTTGATGTTCTAGTATTCGCTTTCCCAAGTTCAAATAAAATAGAAACAAATTACGCGATTTGAATATTGGTAATTCCTGCATCGCGCTTTTTTATATAAATAGATGTAAACAATATAGATAAGTCCCACAAATATCGAGTTTTACGATTATCGTACTTCATCTGAGTCATCCGAGGCATTTAAGAAAAAAAAATTATTGGAAATTCCGACGTTCTTCTCAGTCACGTTTCTACTTATGAAAAAAAATCCGAGATTATGTTGACCCTCTGCGTGATATGCATGTCTTACTCTCTAGATACATACTGCTGTGTAAATATATCCAACGTGTAAACTACCAATGTATGTAATCTCGTTATCAGTTGATACGCACTTTTCTTCGTCCACTGATATACAATCTGATATACAATCAACATAATTCTGCCGATCATTCGTATGAATATGTTAACGCGTCAATTTGCAAACTTTTATTCCCGAGTTTTAAATTGCTTCGGAATATCTCGACCAAAAGTGTAGCAAAAGTATTAAAAAAAATGTATTTATCTATTTTATTTAAAAACTTTATGATAACATTCCACTCTATAAAACTTATCTTTCATATACAATATAAAATGAAAAATAATGTGTTTATTGCCTAATATCATAGATTTAATTTTGGAAAGTAAGAACTATATTTTGATTTAGAATTCATAAATAATAACATTTAATTTGATAAAAAATTTTATTATTTACTTACACACACAGAGTGCTAATTAATTTTTCAAGTGTCTGTCTGTTTAAAATATTACGAAAGAATATCGCGTTCAATGAAATTTTTACCATGAAAAAATCGTTTTAGATTTTATCAGGGGATACTTCTAAATTTTTGAAGATTATAAAACATCCTGTACCTTCGTGATTAAATCTATTCTCACTGTATTCAGCAAACTTCCCGGAACTGTGTTATTTATACCGATAAGGCGATTCTACGTATATACCTGTTACAGACTGTTATATTTTTAATTATAGATGTCTCGCAGGTGTGAAAGCACTTGTAATTACATATGTGTTACCATTCCTTTGTTGATATCTGGTTATTCTAATCGATTCTGATGAAATTTATAATAAATTGATCTATTTGCAATAAATTCTATTACAATCTACAATATTTAATATATCTAAAAGTAGTTTTTTATAAGAGTAAAAGAAGAAAAAATATTTATAATTTTGTAATTTGCGAATTAATTAATCTTAATTATTTTTTTATACTATCACATGTAACTTTTAATTTTTCATAATGTAAAAGAATAAGAAAAAAACATATTCCACTTTCATCATTTTCTGCGTACTATTATATGATAATTTTTAATTTTATGGAAAATTTTTTATTTTAATTAATAAAAGAAATGAGAACAATTTTGATTATATATTCAATTATATGTTGCTATCTTCTACATTCCACAGACTTTTTACAAGTTTCACATATGTCGCAATGATAAACAGGAAAATACATAATATTCTGTAGCGCTATACTGAAAACAAAAAAGAATATTTGAATATGATTCGAGCTCTTTTTTAAACGTTCGAAGCGTTGAAGTTTAATAGAACAAAGAGAAAAAAATTACTACGAACGCGAAAGAGATTATAAAATTTTTAATTGTCAAATTTGTTTGATATTTATAGCAAACAAATTTGCATATTTGACAAATATTTTGCATTTGTTGTAAATAATTTTTGTAACGAAAGAAAGAATAAATATTTGTTACATCTGCAAACAATTTGCGACTCCTATATTTGCAAATGAAATTTGACATTATAGCGCAGGATTAGCATCCATAGGATTTTTTCCCTTCGCGAGACTTTCTACAATAAGCCATTACTTCTTCCTAAACCATAAGAAATTGATCATAGTTGACTATTTATTTCACATTCAACTGTAACTGGTCAATTTCTTACGGCTTAAAACTTAAAACTTAATATTAACAGTTTATTGTAGAATAATGCAATCTGTCAATATCTATTAAGTAACGTATAATCAATTAAGTAATGACTTGTCTATTACATCAAACAAGAATCACTCGAGATATGAATCGATTAAAGGGCACTGCTGTTCTCTACAATTTGCGCTATTTTCTGCAGAGATATAATAACTATACATTGGAATACATTGCATATTAGAAATAATGACGTTTACATCCTTTTTCAGGTTTAATAACATCCATAATTATAAAACTGATCAATCATAGTCATTCCGTTATTGATTAATTTACATACATAACTCTATGGATGTTATTAAACCTACGTATAAACACAGTCAATATCAAAAAAATAAGATTGTGGAGAATCAACTTAAAAACAGCGAGACTTTGTTTTGATTTTTTATTCTATATATTTTTTTATTAGGTTTTATATAGAGATTGAGTGGAAAATTTGAAGATTAGTGAATATATATATAAGAATTAAGATGAGATAGAGATTGTAACCGGTGTAACCAGTTTTGAGAACTTGTATTTTGTTTTGAGATTATTGCTAGGATTCTTTTTAAAAAAATCAAAATATGATCTTGAGATCTTTTGATTGCAAATTCGTCCGTAACAATATTTTGAAGACAATATAAAAATCTACAAATATAATTTTTTATAAAAATATTTTTAACGTGTATTTGCTATTGTTTCATGTGTTTTTATATTGTAGTATTATTTTTTTAATTTTATAATTTATATATTTTACGTTCCAAGAATTTTACGTCGAGGAATTGAAAAGTTTTTTTTTACTTTATATTTATTTATCTATGTACGTGTCGTATCTTGAACTGAGACATGAACAATGTACCCATCAAAAGATTTTCAATTCAGAAAATGAAATAGAAAACCGCGAAGGAGCGTCACACCTTGATTGCATATCAGTAACTTTTCCGATTCAATATCGTACAGGATGTTTACATGATAACTGAATCAAGAAACTCAATGTTTCTAAGCTGTAATAACTCGCAGATTATTAATTAAATCAAATAATTAAACATCCAAATATCTCGCGATTTTAATTTCTAAAAAAAAACCCCTCCGATACTTCTCGGCGCATCTTTTTTTGTTAGCTTTATACGATCATAAAATTCAAGTTTACAGAGGATTATCGGTTCAGTAAACAAACTCGGCCTTTTATATTTACGAAATTAATATCACCCCTTCGAGAATTTCAGATAAAGTAATCCAAAGCATAAGCATTATGTAAGCTTTGCGTAATTTATCAACCAAGCATTATCAACCAAGTCTTTATACCGCTGTTAGACATATTTAGTCAACTGGGCGTGAAAAATAAATAAAACTGATTGTTCATTCGCGAAAAAACACAACATATTGACACCTACATTTAGTACATTCTACATTAAGCCTAGTATTTAAACTAAGTATTTTCATTTATCTAACGAAGAGAGATAATAGAATGTAATGTAAACTATTTGAGTGTGTGTGTCGTGTGGATATTTTTTGATATTTTTAAATTAATTAATTGATTTCTCAACATCTCATTCTGTTTAGCAATTAATTAATGGTACTTATATAATTTATATAAGCAATGTTGTATGTTGTTGAGTTTTTTACTAAACCGGATGTATATAATGATAATTATAACGAAGATAAAAACATTAAAAGAGAATATTGAGTGCCATTGACACTTTGTGATAAATAACTTAGATACTCATTGATGAGATCGAGTGTCCATTAACGTATTATAATAAATAAAACAATTGTAACAAATCTAAAATATTTAATAAAAAAACACATTCAATCTAAAGGTGCACATAAAATTTCGAGTATACATTAAAATAATATGCAGTTAATTTATCTGATGTAAATTTATAAATTTATAAATTACACAGTGATATAATAACCACAATAGTTTTAAAGTTACCAATTAAATTTATAATATTCATAAAATTATATATCAAAAGTAGATCATTTACATTCACGTGTTTCTTGTCAACTTTTGTTAGCATTATTATCAATTTAAATTCCAAAAAGAGTTATTTAGTATCTATTTGTACAATTACGATCAATGATTTTGAGTGACGTTGTTGTGACTCATACGACTTTTATCAGACAGTCTGGAAACGGATTTCTCTTTATTAAATTGCTCTATGCAAAACCTGTCATTTCGTCGACGAGCGCTGCAAAAAAACATTGTTCAAACAAGACGTGCACAAAACGGCCTTGCTACCTGGATTTTCCAACGGGAAAACCAGTTACCGCAGCGTGCTAATGAATTTTATAGCCACCCGACAAACAAACGCAGAACAAAGCCTTGTTGATAATATTTAGTAAAATTATTATAATACAATAATGCGGAATTTCCGTATTAATTTCGTGGATTTGGTAGCTCTGCGAATTTCGATTGTATATTTTGTTTGTACTCTAAATTTTTTCGCTGTAACGCTGATACAGATTATCGTGCTCAATTTTGAGACTTTACTGAATTCATTTATTTATAACTATATGTATTACTATCTAATTACTTCATTTGGTCAATCTTCACGATACGGAACTAATTAGGCATGGCATAGACATGGCTCTTGTACAGTATCATAATCCTTTATATAATCTAGGGAGATTATCAGGATCGATTGATTGCCGAATTGGAATCGATTAATTATTTCTGGAAGAGGGGGGAGGGGAGTCTCCGACTAATTCATAATTTAATTTAGCAAAATCACGACACAAAAAATATACTGATCTCGATTCACTGATCTATTATGTATATAAATATTGATTCTTAATTATTATAACAGAGTTACACTCCACTCTAAGTATTTCTTTGAAAGAAATACTTAGAGTGGAGTATAACTTTGTTATCGATTCATTTCTATACTTTAGTTTTTTTTTTATAATTTTATATGATGATGATGAGTTGCTTAATTCTCATTATATAGACAAATAAGAATTGAATCTGTTTAAAGCATGCAATGTTTATTCAATAGAAAAAAGGGAATTTACTCAAATTATATCATAGCAATAACAAACTATCAATAACTAACTTATCAAAACTGAAAATAGATTACAATCGTGTGTGAAGACGTAAATAAACATTTATCTGCAGTTCGTAAATATAGTTCCATTTGCCATAATTTCCTTGGAAGTTGCTAATCGACAGCGGTTAAAACGAGAACATCGAAGTAATTTAAGTAAATGTATTGAAACTACTTTGATGATGACTTGCAGAAATTGCAGATATCGATTGGCTAAAAAATATCTGTTGTTACACGCATAATTCAGTACATATAAATGTTTCGTAGTCGAGTTCAGATTTCAAATTGTAAATTAAGGAATCTGCAAACAAAATTTTAGATAATAAGGAGTCATCTTATTCCCTCCGTATGACATCCAGACATGTATCTAAAATATTTTTATTTGAAAAATAGTATTTGTAATTGTATTTGTATGATAATTGTATTTTGCATTTTAGCGGAACATATAAAAATATGTATTTTGTATTTCAAATATTAAAATTGACAATCAATTTTGTTATTTGAATTATAAAAAACTTTCAGTCTTTCGATTTTAAAATTTTGGTTTAGGAATGTTACTTCTCACGTTATTCAAGAAAAATACAAATTTAATCAGAAATCTCTTTTAAAATATTAATATTAAAATTATTATTTTAAAATTAAAATAATATAGGTTTAATATAAATGCAATACTAATGCAACATTATATCAGAAACATTTATACTATAAAATAGTGTGTAAATATCAATATTTTTTGTAAAATGCACAGAAGTTTGGAAACGAAGTGTTTCACATGCGTCACTATATAATCGCTTAATCTAACAATTATGATGCTTTGCCTAATCGATTTTTATAAACGATGTGTTTATTAGCACAAATCCTTAATAAACACCATTGCTTCTAAATTTGCCAAGCAATGCCAATTTAATTTCACCAGTTACTTCCTCTCATTAGCATTAATTTTATTGTTAAAAAATATAAATCTCTCATAAATCTATTAATAAAATCTGTAATTATCGAAACTCGGAATCTTCATTATGGAGATTAAATTCATCATGTGGAAACACAGAAATTCCAAATAGAAACGTGACTTCGATATATAATTTAAATTCCGAGTCACATAAAAGAAAGTGGATGTGTGGAATTCTTACTGCAACCAAATTGAATGAGGTCTGATCCAAAATTTAAACAGTTCAGCAATTATCTAGTTAAATTACTGCCAAAAAAAATTTAACTACTGATTAATTATTTTGTATGTCATAACTATAATGTTTTAGAAACAAAAGAATGAAAATTTAAGAACGTGTTAAATAAAATATTAATAGGATCATTTAAATTCTTTTTCTTTTATTTTTATCCATTTCTTTACATATGCGTGCTCTGTTTCAGTATCAAATCGCAGAACGACGTTGATTGTTGTAAATTGCAAGTCTACCATATTTAGAAAAAAAAGAATAAAGAAGAGAACAGCGAAACAGACGAGAACAAAAATTGTTTTCAAGCTTAAAGATTCAAGATTCAAGATCGAACTCCGATGTGCTAACGTTACAATTCTTTTTGCATCATAATATTACATTACATTTGACCAGCAGCTTTTCTAAGAGGTTTTAACAATCGACGCTGTTTTATTATGCTATTTTTCTGTCTACATTATTATTAATATTGTAAATTTATTTTAGAATAAATTAATGTGTACACGAAAAATAAATGAAAGAAATAAGTTAGTCCTAATATAAATACATTAATATGGATCGAAACTCAGCCTGAAGCTAACATAGAATCTAATAATAATTTAATTCTCATGTAATATAATCAGACACGCGCATAGAATCGAAGAGTCATGTTTTTAGCATTAAATATGCGGTATAACAATGAATAAAAAATATGATGTATGCAAAAAGCAGCGAGGAGGAAGAGGAAGTACGACGAAGAAGAGGAAATACGATAAAACCAGATCTTCTAATTATAAAACGTATTGAAATATACATGATAGAATATATGACGAATTATACTTATGATAATATTCACGCTATTTCACGCACGAACAATAATTTATTCGTAACATTATACATCTGCTTGTTACGCTTTTTTTCAATAACAAGTAAACGAAGATATTCAGAACTATATGGAGCAATTTATTTCTCATTGTTGAAACTCGATAAATAACGAGGGTGTCACATCCGGCGGATATATCATAAATGAAATTTACGTCGAACGGAAATTTTATCATATTCCGCTATCGTTTTTGCATGGCTCTGCAGTAACAAACACAAATTATCATTGTAGATCATTGTAGTACATCATTGTAGAATATTTTGTAAATAAAAATTTATATATATAATATTTATATGTATTATATGTATTATATGTATATAATGTGTAAATGTTATGTATAAATTTTATATATATGTATATATATATTTATGTACATTTATATATATGTATATAATTTTCATTCGATCGAAATTCAAATTGTTTCAAATTCATTCATCTCTGTCGTGATACATAAGGGAGAGCATTTATCGCGCGTTAGAAACAAAGAAAATTTCTTGCAGTAGGAAAATTCTATGAAGCTTAAAGGAGTGATAATCATGTCGATAGTGGTTTGCGGTTGAGTTAATCCATCAGTGTCAGCCAATTCAACATATTCATAGTAATATGTATATTTATATACTTGAATTCTGATGTAGGATTATCCATAATTATGCATTTACGATTAATTATATAATATTTGCATATATGCACGCATATATACACATTATCATCGTTTATCACAGACACAAATATCTACAACACAAATAATTTTCTAAAAGAAAATGTAAGAGATAATCCCAAATGCTTTTTTTCAGGCTTCAAGGATGAATGGTCCCGAGTTCTCGAGAAGTCCTTCAGAGTGGTTTCGCACTCGGAGTTCTACGTTATTGAAAAAAACGAATACAAGCGAAGATTCGCAGATCTACGGTGATTATACTTACTTTGCCACCGAAAAAGGTTGAGCGTTCTGGCAAATTGACGTTTCTTGCGGACGTAATCATGGATTCACTTGATAAATATCTACTACTGCTGCTATCGCTGCTTCTCTCTTTGCCGATCATGTATTTCAATTCATAAAAACTCAACGCACTTCACTCGCTCGTTGATCACCAACGACTGACTATAGTGACTGTCTGACTAACTCGAACAGCTAGCGATGAGACAAACCACCGTATAGTGCGACATGCGACTTTATGCCAGCAGCGTGATCGACCAGGAAGATACATTCGCCTTGATTTTGTTAATGTACTTGTCAAATGATAGATCTGTTTTTTACTCTTGCACTAGACTGCACTAAAACTCTTTTTCGCTTTCGCCAATATTATATAAACATATATACTTATCTTATCTCATTTTAAATTCTAAAAGTGTACACATAGTTCAGTCACAAAAACAGACCCAATACGTATTAACAATCCGTATTAGCGAAATTACACTGTTTGGATAGAATTATTAATTTTTTATTGTTTGACGAAATTGTTGTAAAAGAAGATTAGATTACGACAACTAATAATATATAAGAATTATTTTAATTATTGTTTCATCTAGTAAGCAGGAGGAAATATATATGGGGGTGGACCCCGTTTTGTGTGGAAAATACATTTTGAATATTGTTCAGTGTCAAGGTTGCTATTCCCTCCATATGTATGTAATATTTATGTGTCTAAGCATCAAATTAAATAAAATAACATATAAATTTTAATTTTTTTTTTTGTTACTTCTTGAACATATAATGTACTAGTTATAGTGGTCCAATTACTGAACGAAGTGACAAAAATTTATGTACAACTTTAAATAAATTCATCTTATTAAATTTTTATAAACAACGAATTTAATTTAGAGTCATAAATATCATTAAATAAATTTTAATATTTAAAATAACACTGATAAATTTACCTTCTGAATTCTTGTCCAGGAATGACTTTTTGGTTGAAGATATATACATTTAAAAAAATTTATCCTCTGAGGGAACAATAGGTACATCACTGATCCGAACACTAGATCTGTTCTTTTTAACTGAACTTCTGCACCAGTTCATCTTTCTTCTTCTTCTTTCCTCCTGAAGAGAAAAGGAAGAAAGTCGAACTGGTGTAAAAGTTCAGTTAAAAAGAACAGGCCTGTGTCAACACTACATGACGAACATGCGCGAGATAACGCAACGTGAGCGAAATGATGCGGGAAAATATAGATTCCGAAGCTTTTTACCAAAAGTACACGTTATCAGAAGAAACCATGGCGAAACTCGAATCTATCAGAGAAGCGTTAAAAGATAACATCGTTCAGGCTAATCCGATGTGGAAACTCATAGCAGAGCAGGTTAGAATTGTATAGTTCATACATTATAGGTCTGTTTTTTATTGCTGCACTCTGAACAATGCAATAAATTATATTTGTTTCGCTTCAACTTATTGCATTGTATGTATTAGAAAGTGCAGCAATAAAAAACAAATCTATTATGAACTATAATCTCAATGAGAAGTTTATAGTCATTATTTAATTTTTAAATTAATTCTTTCGTATCTCTTCCGTATCTCTACAAAGAAATAATTATGAAAATATAAAAATTATTAATATTATTAGGTGTTGGAATTAATTCGTAGCGTTTTTAATGAAAGAATGTTATTTATTTCACATGAGCATTAAAAAATACATTAATGAAAGTACTTCCCATCACTTGTAAAACGCTACGAATTAATTCCAACACCTAATAGATCACTCCAAATTCTTATACATATAATTTAACATAAATATGTACTGTTCGATTTAGAATGAAGAAGAAATATGTTCAGAGAATGAAGATAGCGACGATAAGGATGAACCGATGGATAATAACGAATCTCAAACGAACTGCGATCAATCAGTACCACCACCGTCTACTCAATTTTACTTTACACAAACTGAGAGAATTATAGAATCGAAGAGATCTGTTGCTGCAGTGCCACAAAGGTGTGATATTTTAGAATGTGCTTGCGAGAATTTAGAACGAAATAATGGCAAGCTAGACTTCTCCCAATTAGAGAACTTATCTGATGAAGATCTTGTTCCATTGGTGGACGAGATGGCAAGAAAATTAAGTCCTAAGGGTATCTATAATCTGTGTCTGTCGATGAATAATATGACTGTTGAGCAGAGAATAAAATATCTCAATATATTTTGCACACATTTGTTGTTACCAAAGGTACCAATGGCATTATTAATATTTACTAGATTTTTTTCTTCATATATTAATTTTTGTTCACATTGTATTCATAGATAGTCGAACTGGAGGAACCATCTCGTTTATTATCATCTGCTATCGTTGAATGTATTAAAATGTTTCCCGATGAGGTTCAGCAACTTATATTTGTTCCGATTCTCAACGTTGAGTTGAAAGATATAACATTGATCACCACCATTGTGAATGCGTTTGATCAAAGGAAAATTCTTTTAGGGTACATTTCACGCAGTCATATAATATATATGACTTTAAGTATAATTTTAAAATATAATTTTTATTTCGAAAATTACAAATTAAAAATTAGAAAACAAATTAATAATTTTTTTTATGTTTTTGCAGAGAATTTCTTGCATGTGTGGAGGAATTAAAGTTATGGCATATATCTGTGTTGCAAAGTTTGTTATCTATAAGACTGGACCACAACATGATTGATAAAATTATCAAATTATTCTTGGAAAAAGCACTTTGTTATTCCAAAGATAAAAACTTCGGAAAGCTTATACTGTCATTTTTAAAAATGAATACAACAATAACTGAAGAACAGAAAAATGTAGTGGCTGAAATCGCTGCTGTTAATGAAACATTATTCAAAAAACCTATAGAAAATATTTTAAAGAACATGTAAGCGCTAATTACATGTGTAAAGACGCATCTATAATGTCTATCTAATTTTCCTCGATTAACGTATTTTTATGAATGTATATCTTTAGAGATTAAAATATATATTTTTCTAAATTAGGACTTAGATTTTTTTATAGTGAGTTTCAAATACAATTTCATAGATATTTGATATACAAACATAAAACACTTCCAACTATTAATTATAATTCCTTGTCATTTCTTGTTTAGCTACTATCTAAATTTACTCCTCAATTTACTCTTTTTCTTTTTCTTTTATCTATTGCTTATGCTGTTACGGGAATAAAGAAGATCGCCATGTTTCTCTTAAATTTTTCAATAAAACTGGTGCATTATTTTTACGTCAGAAATTCCGTGTTTATTATTATTTAGTAAGGCATACATTAGTATTCATTATGTTAAAATTTGTTCTTAATTAAAAGTTCGATGCAGATATTAATAACTATTAATTTAATTAAAAGTGATGCGCGCGAGATACGACTCCATAAGCGGATCAGCTGATAGAAGATTTTTCTATTCGAAAGTACGAATGACAGTTGACATTATTGTTCCGGAGCGATATACGATTCTCACATAAGGACTAGTACTCGACAACAATTGTTCGCGAACCTGCAGAAGGCAGGCTGCCTCGATTATCGCGAGAATGACACAGGAGCTATCTGGTGTGACCATAGTGATATTTATAGCAGCGGGTGTTTTGACAATATTGTTACTATTCATCTTCGCGAAACGGCAGATCATGAGATTTGCTTTGAGATCTCGTCGGGGTCCTCACATTCCCATAGGACACGACGCAAAGAAGGTGTGTTTTACGAGACAGTGTAATTTTGAGGTTAACTTATTATTACAATATATGGTTGCTTAACCCATGACAAGTATATAATTTTTTGTGATGCCAGAGGAATATGTGGGTTCTTGGAAACTAGTTTTTTGTTATTAGTATTTTAGTAGAAGTTTTAAATTTTTCAATTATATAAAAAAGTTATAGAATGATAATTAATTTATATAAATAGAACAAAATTGTGAAAAATAAAACTGTGAAATTATTCTAAGTCATTATACTATTTAAAAATTAAGAAAATGTCTCAGTATATCACCAGGATTCACATGCTCCAGTTAAATATACTGAAAATGTTTCAGTCCTTGAAGAAGGAAATAGAAAGGAGAATAGAAGTGATACCTAGGATCCAATACGAGCCACAGCTGATTAGCGATCCTAGATATATTTTGACTCCAGGTGGACAAGCTCCACCGCATTATTATAGATTAAAAGCTGTTGATGATGTTAAAACTTTAGGTAAGTCACTATTCCATTATTAGATTTGTTTTTATTATTGCATTGGACTACATTTTTCTTCTCACTTTTGCCAAACATTAAATACATATGTCTATTTTTCTTTATAAGTACAAAGAGTCAGATCAGTTCAGCTATAAAAAGATCTCAAGTCTTTGTTTCACTTTTTTTGTGACTTTTTTACCTTGATATCTGAGCCTTGTTTTATGTGATATTTACAGAGACAGAGATCACAAGGTATGACAATTGTCTGAAGAGACATCCTTCGGAAAATCTGAGGGCATACTTGCTCACCACACTTGCTACTCCATTAAATGGAAGCGGTCAGCGTTTAATTCACCAGTTCTGTGATTTGTACGAACATGCGAGACACGACCCTACAGAATTTGGTGACGAAGAGTATCAAGTCTACACTCGCTTGTTTTTGAAGTTAATGGATGCGTAAGTGTGATTCGGAATGTCTACAGTAGAAAAGATTATGTAAAGATATAAAAACTTAAGTATAATTTATTAATTATTCGCAGGGCACGTTTATTGAAATCATATCCAAGCAGCAGGAAGTCCAGTCCTAGTCGCACGCCAATCAAAAAGAATGTGGAGACGAAGAGAAATATTTTGGAGCCCAGAATGCGTCCGCCCGAGGAGCAAATTTTAACTGGTTCGAGACCTAATACTTTAACAGTAATGACATTAGACAATAGCGAGACGTCCGTGTAGCATTATGAGTGCCGTCACATACAACATATGTGACGAGAAAATTGTAGATAGATATACGACGCAAAAAAATAATTATATTAAATTATAGGAAAATAGAACGTCCGGTTTAGTTAGGAATTTATTAATACACATTTTTACTTTTACTAATAAATGCACCTATGCTCGCCATTCTATTCAAGTTGCGTATCGAACGACATATATTTTATATACAACGAGCAAATACGTTTTTTTTCTGTGATTTATTTTATATTTATATGAATTTACATTTATACAAATCAGCCTTATAAAATAGAATTTTCGCGCTCTTTGCACCAGCATCGCTTGTAAAATATTTTAAAAAGTACTGATGTACATAAAAAGTAATGGTGTGTAGAAGTCGCCGAATTAGAAAATTAGTAATAGACTAGAATTTTTTTAAAGAGCGTCCGTTTCATGTAATTTTTCAGGTAATAATAGCTAAGTCAATAATCGTACATTATCTTCCAATTGACTCCGTAAACAATTACTAAAATTTACATATGCCCGGTCGCATATAGATCTACATATACATATCCCTGTTGAAATTCAGGAAAAATGTTCACAGTAATTAAAAAATATTAGAAAGTTATCTCTATCCTCTTTTTCAAATGTTGTCTTTTAATTAAGACTAATAGATTAGTATATCTTTTTCTATACGTCACTGTTTAAACATAGAAATTTTTAACAATTTAATGAATTGAGTGTTAATCATGCGATAAGAATATGGACCTAAGTGTATATATATATATATACCTGTCAAAGCTTGTATAACAATTGTTTTTTATTTATTAGTAATAAGATATAGATTAAAATAGGATATCAGGGGTATAAATATACGTTGTAAGATTTTTTATTATCGTTAACGAAATTCAAGGCTGAGTAATACGAATAAGTAAATCAGTTCAATAAGAAAACTTCCCTTTTTTTTAATATAAAAATATTTATTGTACACGTATCTTTAGTTATATTTAAATGCGAGTTTTTACTGACAAATAATTTTTCCATTCTGAGTTGTAATCTTCTTCATGCCTTAATAAGATTAACGCGCTTTGAAATGCAAGTATATATACATCAGGTACAGAATTGCTCCTCATGTGATTCAGCCATTTCATAATCTAAAAAAATTATCAACAGTTTAATGTATAATAGACATATTACTCGTTTTGCGACGAAAAATGCCACTGCAATTGTAATACATGAATGTAATGTTTTTTCTAATTGTTAAAAATCAAGAGATTATATAAATCTTTATATTATCTATAGCTGACAAAATACAAGTTTACATACCTGACGTGTTATGGATTTCCAAATTTGTCGGTCAATAAGCATAGAGATCGCCTGTGGAAATAGTCTTATTCTAATGTCTTGCGAAGTAATTAGCAATTCTTTTTGCGGCAAGAGACATTCTATGCCGGACAAACAGATAATCAAGACAAATAAAATATCACAGTAAAAAGTTATATTGTTTTTCTTGTGTTCTGTCTCTACTATAAGCGCATCGATATGTCTCATAAAATCTAAAATCCAGTCTTTTTGTATTTCCAGATCACAAGATTTTTCCGATCTCAACTCAGCCTGCACTTTTTGTATACTTTCTAACAAATATTTTTGCATTCTATAAAGACAGGAAAATTTATTAGGCGACTTGACCAAGCACGAGAAATTTAATAGCTATTCGTAATCGTTGTATACTTACTCAAGATTAAATTCGGTCGTGTTGATAAGATCATTCAGCCAAGTGAATGGCATACCAGTATCTCCCCTGAAGGCTGCTTGGACTCTAATAGCGATAGCGGTTTTCAGTTTTTCTGGCGTTACTACCCACCAGGTGTAAGGCGACGTCATTCTTTCGACATCCTTGGTCAATAATTCCATCATAGCCGCAAAATATTTTTCGAAATGTTTGGATGTTAAGTCGACTTTTTGCGATATCTCTTCCAACATGATGGTTAGCAGCGTGCGATTTCCTATTTGTATCGAATTGTTTTTTAAAGCGGTGACATAAGAAGACATAATATGATTGAATAGATAAATGGACTTTTCGTTATTCATTAAAATTTGATCAATGGCATAATGGAGAGAAGTTTCGATGAATTTTCTTAAGTTATTTGGTTGAATAGCTTGGCACAGTTCCTGCAGATTTGAGTAAAGCACTAAGTGTTTCTCATCCAGTAGCAATCGACCGGCTTCTGATATGGACGTATACATAGACAAGAAACTTTCTATTAGCAATTTCGCCGATAGCGAGATTTGACAATGATAACTCGCGATAGATAGACTGTATTCCTGAGCTTCTTTCGATATATGCATAGTTTTCTCCAAGAAATCCCATTTTATATTCGGCAATGGTTTTTTATGCTTATGAGCAAATATACGCAAACACTCCACTAAAATTGTCTGATTATTCGGATCCAATTTGTCACTTCGTCTCAAGTGCTCACCGATCGCCCTTATTACACTTCTCTCTGGTAGGTACTTATAGTTTTGTGGTTCTCCTTGTGGCCAAGTATATATTTGTGATCTGAAGCCGTTCAATTCGTCCTTAATATAAGAAATCAAAAGATCTCCAGCTGCTGATAAGACACTCTTATTCACATTCTTCAGCATTTGAATCCAACAAGTGCCAGGTATGTACTGCATTACCTCAGACTTGTTACCTTCACTACTCGCCTTTTCAGATGCTTGCTTTATCATGACATCCGATTGGAAGTCTAGAGGCAGAGCAGTCAAAGGAATTCGGTCGACCTGATAAGTTTTCAGTGCCTTAAACGCCGCTTTCGCGACTCTGATATCGTCGCAAATCGTATAGCTCCACAAAATCGTAACAACTTCAGTGATGAATCTGTTGTAGTCATCGCTCGCACGAAACGAATACGAGGGAATGTTACCGAACAACTCGCATAGACTCTCCAGAACCACCGTGCGTTTTTCCTTGCGCATCTTTGGTGCTAATACTTGCCATGTAGAATAAACGCCTGTTAAGTAAAATCATCGTCTGTGTTAATTATGGAAAATGAGAATTACAGAGAACACTATTAAGTGAAAATCGAACGAGAAATATTCACAAATTAGAACGATCATATTCAGTTAAAGTCTAACATTTAAATTATAAAATTCACACAAAAAAATATTACTAGGCACCAAGATCCGCTTTGATTGAATATAATCTTCACTTATTTACAGAGAATTATGCAAAACAAGGATAGCAAATAAAACATTGATACACTAACTTATTAAAAAGAATTCAGTGTTTCAAGATACAAAATATAAAATATGATACCTATCACCGTGAACTTGCACAGAGCCGAGATGCTGTCAAGTGCGAGTGCACTGGCCGCACCTCCATTCAGATCAACGCATCGATTCAGGATTTGTGACAACAGCGGCACAAGTTCCTCACCGTGCTCGGGCCAACTCTCGCAAATACACTTTATCGCCTGAGCGCATGTCACGTCTGAATGCCAGTTACGATCTTTCTCCATAGCATCCATTAAAGCAGTTGATATGAAGCGATAGCAACGTGGCTCCTTTTCCAACGCCTTTATGTAAAGCTGGATTGCGAAATATTTCAGTGGCTTACCACTATTCAGCAATGTGTCCAACGTGTGGATGACGATCGGCAGATTTTCCTTAGTCATAGCAAACTCGGGAATAGTCAGTAACAGATATTTTAATGTGGAGCTATCATGAATCTTAGTTAATTTGTGCAGCAACAGCGACAATACGTGCGACGCAAAGGAGTTGATCTCTCTCGCTATTTGCACGAGAATATGACAGACTTTTTGGACAACAAGAGGTTCATTGCTATGTAAAAAGATCCCACATAATACCAGTTTGCACATGTATCTCAGATCGATTGGTGCGAGCGACAAATTCTCCAACCATGATAAAGTATTATTTTTTAGAGAATATAGACTAAGGACGAGTTCCATATAAAATTGAATGTATCTATTGCTATAGCTAAATATGAGCAGCATTTTGTTTGATATAATACCGTTACTGTTATCCATTTCCTTTTGTGACATTGTCTTGATTAACAATTCTTTTGCTGTTACTAACGCATCAGCGCATAATAACGACGGATAGGCCAACCACTTTAATAAGGATGCAGCTAATGTATTTAATATCGTAATATGACATGGCATTTTATTCACAATAACTGCACCTATCAAAATGATTAAAATTAAATCTTGCAATTTCTTTAAATAATGTTGCTACCTTTAAAAAAATATGATTTTATAAAATAAATATTTTATATAAATATAAAAGTGAAATGGGTTAGATTTACTTCATAAATATACTTACATATTTGGAGGACGTTAAATAAATAAGCTGCAGGACATATCAAAATTATTTCTGCCATTAAAACTAGCGTAATATTTCCTATATAGTTGTAACAACATTCAAAGAGATCCAATATCATACAAAAATTTTGTGTTGGTTCATGACCGTATTCCAAAAGCTGTATCGTCAAAGAAGCGATTAAAGGTATTAATGCCGTACAAAATTCTATGTCTCTTTTTAGCAACATCATATTCGCAAGCTCAAGAATTCGACAATTCGCATCGATGCAAGTGTCCGCTCGATTTGTGCATAACCAGAGTAAGATCTCTGTTCGTAAATCTGTAGTGTTACTTGATGTCATTAAAAGTTGCCACGTTTCCCGTTTACAACTCTCACACATATCCATGGTAGGATTGCATAATATGTGCACGAATACAGGTCGTAATAACTCTACACTTTGCCCCATAACACTGAAATTTGGATAAATCAAAATTTAATAGCATTTTCAATGTGCTTTCATCTTAATTATACAAGCTGGAAAAATTATTTAGGAGTAAAAAGATTCCAATTTATATATATATATATATATATATATATATATATATATATATAATTCTTATATACATATATCTGATAACTATTCTGATGATAAAAACATACTGTTTGTCATGATGATGCATGATGAATTTCATTTGATTCAGTACAGATCTCCAGCTAAGCTTTTCCTTAATCAAGATCGCAATAAATGGATGCTGAGTAGGGACGTCGAGAGTATATTCATTGCATCTATCATGTGATTTCCAATCTAATATCAACAGTCGACTTATTGTTACAATAATCATCTGATAATTCCTAAAATTTGTTATTGATAACAATACATGAATTGAAACAAATAAATATCATCTAAAGAAATAAATGACATATTAAACATTGATCTTTTGTTCAATATGTACATACATACTTTGAAGAAGCTAAGCATGCCATGAATGTTGCTAATGCAGACTTGACGTCCCACAATCCAGTCTCACCAAGTATAAACAATGCTTGGCATGCAGATGTACTAACTATAGAATCATCACTGTTGCATTTAGTTGAGAGTAATTTAAATTCTGATATCTACAAAAAAGGAAAACAAAAATATATATATAAACAAAAAATATTTATGTATAGTAAATACTAAAATCGTAATTATCAAGAAAATGATTTACTTTTGAAATGTCCTTTTCTTCTGTTTCCAACTTCTTTCTGATTGCTTCAATCAGCTTGGATATTGCCTGCAGAAAAGACAATTGAGTATTCATATAGTTACAACATAAATGCAAATATGTAGTAAATAGTTATCTTCTGCTATTCTTACATGTGATATCAAAGTAGGATTTTGTGATCTCAATTTGTAATCGATTTCATCCATGTTTTATGCTTATATGTAGGACTATTTTTTAGAAATTACGTTTCTTTCTGAAAATTATAAAATTTTCTGTAAAAAAAGAACGTTTATATTTATATAAATATATAAATGATTTCAAGATGAATAAAATATATATTTGATATCCTTGTATTTGCTTCTTCCAATTTTGGAAAATAATTAGATACTTATAACCTATTATAATTTTCTGGATTACATGTGATACACTTATATATTCTCGAGACGCGAATGAAACAAAACATTCAATTATAAGATTAATTTGTTAGATTTAGTATTTATTATCGCAAGTTATATAAATTATAATTAAAACTTGGATTTTCATATGTAATGACCTTTGTTTTTCAGATTTCAAAAAAAATGAGGTTAAAAAGTAATGCAGTGCACTTTATCATCAGATAAAGAAAATTACGCAAAGATGATAAAATATTAACGGATGAAATATGAATATCTCACATGTGTATACAACGTAACAATGCTTTCCATGAATGAAACTTAACCTAACCTCTATTACCTGACTGATCATCAGCAGGTTTAATGAAATTATAATAAATCCTACAATTCTAAATTAATTTAATTTTGCATTCAGGATTCATTTATATGATCTATTAATTTTGCGAATTTTTATTTAAAAATGTTTTGTGACTATTATAACAATAAATAACAATAAATATAATTATCTATAACATATTGATAAATTTTTTGAAACGCAGATTTCAATTCTCTAAAATATCTAAGTTATAAAGAAAATTAATTCGAATAAAAAATAATATTTAATTATATTTTCTTTATGTAACAGATATTTTTTAATTTTTGCATTTCACAAAATATCATCAATCAGTAAGTTGCCGGCTCACTATCGAGAGAAATATCAGCAATACAAGAAATAGACAAATGAGTATAAAAATAAAAATGTCTAACTCTTTCTTTTTAATTCTCTTCTCTATTCTTTGATTTGATACTTCTCTTTTCTCTTTTATATCTATTATACTTCCAATGCTTTTTAAAAAAAGTAAGAATTTTATCATACTATATAGATCATTACTTTACTTTAATTATTTTAATTATCAATTTTTTATTTCTCTGCTGGACATTACAAATAATAAAATCAGATAACTATAGAATTAGCTAATGCTTTTATGATATGATGTTCACGTGGAAACCATTGATACTGTATGTATAAGATATATAGGATGTTTTTTCTTTTACTATTAATTTAATATTTTCACACACACGCACGCACACACGCACGCACACACACACACACACACACACACACACGCACGCGCACGCACGCACGCACGCACGCACGCATGTATATATACGCACACACATGTATTGGGAGTATAAATAATTCATCTCTCTCTCTCTCATCAATGCAATCCTCTGAACCTAATGATAAAGTGAACCGCATGATTTCTTAACTTCGTCTCTCATAATCTGAAAAATAAAGATAGTGAAACAAAAAATAAAGGCAGAGATGTTTGAGATTTTTGAATATATTTATTTGTATGGACAAGTTGGAGCATAGTGCACAATATATTTAATATATAGTAGTCTGAGGAAGGGGGATCAGAGTACATTCTGGAGTTTGAACACAATATCTTACAATTTAACGACAAGATGCCTGCATGTTTTTTTTCTTCTTCTGCACCTGCTTCTCTGTACGTTATGTTTACTCGTATATTCATATACTCGAGATGTATAATATATAAAGCGTAACGACTCACTATTTTTATCATTCTAAAAAAAGGAGACGAGAATAAGGGTCCTTGTTTATTATGTTATATGTCTCAGTTCTCTTAGCATCGTTTACCATTCGCTTCTATCCACTCTCATACCTCTGTTATACGTACATACATGCATACGCGCATCTATATATAATTCAACCCTTTTGTTTCACACGATTTTTCTCTTCCTTTTCTCTTACTTTCTTCTTCTTGTTCACTCTTTCTTCTTTCTCATCTGATACTCTCACGATCGATTATGCAACGTCCTGGCAAATATATGTAGTACTCGCTACAGTGTCGTATTCTCGGACACGGAGGTTGTCTCCAATTGCTAATTACATACGCTCTCTATTACACTCGGGCGAGTTGCGCGTCCCAAGGGGTTTCTCATTCCCACGGGGCGAGCGGGGGCCGACAGGAGGAGTGCAAGGGTAGCGAAGACCGACCATCTAATCCACAAAGTTGTAACCTGTCTTTCAGTAATGTGCGATTCACGTGAAGGTGCAATAAAGCTCTTTGAGCTTACGAGAGACGACGATGACTCTCACCATCTTTCTCTCCTCATATCTTTCTCCCTCTACGTATATCCCCTAATTAGCGATTAACGATCTATATTAAAATTCTTTTTTCCTTGCTTACTGAAAGCGAATACATTTTACAGCCTGTACAGTTGAGTGAAACGACGCGGCGCACTCGTACATTCTTCTTCTTTTATTCTCACATTCTCTATTTCTTATTTCTCTCTCTCTCTCTCTCTCTCTCTCTCTCTCTCTCTCACTCACTCACTCACTCACTCACTCACTCACTTTTTTTTCTTTCTTTTGCACCTTCGCTCACGGAGGCAGACGCGGACCAGGGCAGAATCCAGGTACTCAAGCTATCTCTCTGCGTGTTGCTTCTTATTCTTTTTTCACACTTTTTAAATATTTCTTTTATACTTATGGAGATCTCGTAGAATATCGAGTCCCTCGATCGTTTCGTGTACTCTTTCTTTCTCGGATTCTTCTTTTCCTTTTATTTGCTTTTTTTTAATAAAAATCACAGAGCAGCACCAGCATTTATTTTTTTTAAAGCCCACCCCTTCGTCCGCTGGGCGCCCCACTAAACTGAAGCGATTCATTTTTTATTTCTCTCATTCATTCGCATATACGCACACAATACACGCGCACACATACACAAAGATGCATATACAAACAAAGTTATTCATAAAACATTTATACGTACATCCTCTCGCTCACATAGGTGCGTGCGCGCGCGCTTCTCTATCGCGGTTTCGCTTACATTCGGCAAAATGGATGATTATGTTTTGCCCTGCTCCTCCATTCCTTCATTTTATTAAATATCTTTTTTCTCCCCTGAAATGTCAACCGTATCATATCTTTAGCCATATCTTTTGATTTGGCATTTGCGAAACGCTGCCTAATAAAAATTTCTCGCACCGCCGTTATCTTTCTCTTCTCTTTTTTTCCTCTTATTTCTCCCTACCTTACGTCACACTGACGATAGTAATAAAATAATATAATTAATAATCAATAATCGCATATAATATATATAAAATGGATGACGATAGTAGTTACTGAACAAATATTATGTAGTTTATAGATACATATATATATAGTTGCGTATGCATACGTAATTATACGTTTCGCTCCTCCTATTTACTTCACTCTACAGACCTCGCCCCTGCACTTCTCCTCAACCCCTTGTCCCTTTTTTTTTCTCCCCCTAGCTCTCGCGCATCACTGGCTACCATTACTTTAGTAAACAAATAGCGTTCTAGAATCGAATTTACAGTCACTTAACGCCACTTAATTATTTAGAATCAACGCATTACGTGTCGCCTCGTTTTTTCATTTTTCTTCTTCCTTGTGATTTTATAAATCGTTCATGCCTAAAGACGAGTTCCCTCTGGTCGCGTTTATCGGCATTTAGCGATCGATCAACACACAATTATGAATTCTTCATTTCCCTAAGAGATAAGTTATCAGCAAAGTTATACAATTTCTCTACAAAAATCGAAGTTGCGCACGCCTAAATTCTTATTTCTTTACAATAAAATACATCGATACGGAATCTATACGCACGCACATCCACACGCATGCATTATGCTTGTACAAGGCAGTCGACGCACGTGATTCGCTACTCTCTTACATCTCTCGTATACCCTATATATAATCGTTATATATATATTTTTTTTTGTCTCTCTTTCTCTCTTATATATATATGCACACACACACACACACACATCTACACGCGCTCGCTCGCACGCTCTTAAGCTTCTCTACGCTCGATAAAAATTTCACCTCGCCTCGACACATACGCTCGAATCTGAGAGTCGGGGGCGGAACCGCGCTCGCACTCGGCACGCATTAATCCATGCTCGCCGCAATTTTTGCCAGCGCGGCCCCGTGGACGCAAGAACGCCGACAGTGCCGTTCGTCCTCGCGTGCTTCAGTCTAACGAGACGCCTGCTTCCTCGCGAACCTCGTCGTCGCGCATCTTCCACGCCTCGTTCCGATGGATGGATCGCACGGACCTCCCTCAGCCTATCCTAACTTCGGGTCCCGAATGTCGTTTAGTTAATACTTCCCGGATCTGCAATTCTCCGTTCCATTCCGAGCTACCGGTCCCACAAGGTCTGTTTAGATCTAGACACTAGAAAGAAAAGAGAAACCGAGTGTTACCCAGAATCAGCACATGTCAAACGAGGAATCAATGATTTTTTTTTGGATGGCACTGAGCGTATCCAGTCCACCGAAACGAGGCAATCTTTCACTCGATCCCGCTCGAGGACCCTCATCTCATGAGATAGATCGTACCCCTCGAAACTTTACAGGTCTCAGTTTACGGGCTGAGATCGAGTTCCTAATCACTTATTCTTACACTAACTGAAGGCGTCTGTACATTATGCGGCGCGTGTTCCTTAGATATACACTATGTACACGAAGAAGGATATCCAGCAAACTGGTTTTGTCTGCGCGAGAATCGTGAATCCGCAATGGACATATGTGGCGTCACGATACTTGGGGAGTATGATAGGAGGAAATTCGTCCTCTCATCGCGTGAGCATCGCTCCGATAGTTCGATACATCCAAAGGATTGCTTACTCACGATTGTCTCGTCAAGCCTACTACTAACTGTTCAGATTGATCAGAAACAACTCTGTCCGAGAATATGGACAACGTATTTGTGCGTCGAATCGAGTTCAGTCTCTTATCTTTCTCACGTCCTCTAAAATCGATATACATATAGTACTTTCCGCATGTGCGCCTGATTTAAAAAGTCGTGAATCTTCGTGATCCATCAATCTTCCTGATTCCTTCTAATATCATCACTAATCACTGATTTACAGTTTGCTTGCATATATAGAATTCCTAATTCAGCCTAGTTCACAGGGACATGAATAATACCATATAGAGCACCATGTATCACATTGCCCTAAAGTTCCAGTTAGCGTTATCAAGTAAATGAACAGCACACTATTCCCATTCCTCTTTTCTTGACTATCACATAGGAGTTTTAATATTTCATCTAGTCTTCAATCCCTAATACTTGAACCGTTGTTGAGAAGAGGAACGATAGCACCCGTCATCTTGGTCATCGCTTCGTGGTCCTAACGTTTCAACTAGCTTTTCTGAGATCCCAATTTCAAACGACATCGAGAGAACGGGCGGTACAGAGGTAAAGAACATCCCGGCTTCTTTACCGGCTACATTTTGATCCTAATCCGGCCGTCGTCAACTTTTCTTTACTGGTTTCTCCTTGGTCCTAATCCAGGCATACAATGCAGTATGCATTGAAAATACACGCGGCATCCTGTTCAGTATTGGCTACACCGCTCGCTCGCTCGTGTCCATGTCTCCTACGGTTGCCTGCCGCCACCGGCGGCGGTGCCGTGCGGATGTCCCGCACCGGGCGTGCCGCTCGCCGCCGCCGGATGCGTGTGGTGGGCCTGTGCGGCAGAGTTGCCCCCGGCGGTTCCGCCGGGCAGGACGGGGGCGGGGGCCGCGGGTCACTTGGGTGGGAATGGCGAGATCACCGAGGCGGCTACCGCGGCGGCCTGCTGACTCGCCAGCACTGCCGCTGCAACACACACAGAGAGACAGCAGGCCATTAATGTTTCGTCACGATTACTCTGATCATCTACTAAACGCATCTACGCGTGTTTGCTTTTTCCAGTTGTTGCTTTGCTGTTCGGATGATGGCGACCCGCGGCACCCGAAACCGTGATCTGATGCGAAGCGCATTTCGGGCTATTGAGGACCAAGAAGGGAGAGACCAAGATTCGTCATCAGCTGAGAAAAGTTCTTCTCATTGGTCATCTATACGATTGGTTTGTATTACGTAATACAAACTAATGAGCGTATTGCATTTGGTGCAGAAAAGAAATTGAAGATTTGGAAACCGTTTGAGAACAGAATACTCGATACTACTTCTAAGTGAGAAAACGAGGAAATCAGAGATTGAACAACTATCTAGTAGTGAGTCCAAGAATTGAGGAGCATTGATTACCAATCGTCTATCATAATATAAATTCAATACGTTACGCTAATTAAAATAATCATAAAATAATACAGAAGTAATGTAAGAAATAAGTAAATAAGTATTATATATGATTAAGAGAGAGAAAGTATCAACTTCAAATGAACTTTCTCCCGGTGCTAACTAAGATTCACACTATATTACTTAATTATAATGTTACATGTCTCAATCTTCATACTGTATGTCTTTGCAATCTACTTGATGCCATTATTAATGTCCCTAAATCCTGGCAATTGATTCTTAAGTTTCTCATCTGGTAAATGGCGATAAGATACAGCAGAAAGTGTATCTGTTATAAAAATTGGCAAGCTCTTCGAGACAATCGTTAACGAGTGCAATCCTCTAAGAAACATATCGTGTCCTCGAGTTCAATCGCGCTCGAGGAGAAACCCGTATATTCGAGATATCTAAACACCGAGCTAATTCCATTACTACTCGAGGGAAAATGATGACGGATATGTGTGTATATGTGTGTGTGTGTGTGTGTATGAGGAGTGGTGGGAAAGCATACAAAGTGGCGTGTACCTAAGCGATCGTTTTTCCTCATTCTTATTTTTGTCTCAATGATCCCGCGCCTACAATGCATTCCCTAAGTCGCGTGATTTGCGGACTTCCCTCGTTCACGCGAAAGTCCTGGCAGTATTGGCTTCGTAAGCGTATACTTGGTCGATTAAATTCGGATTGGCGATCGTTTTCTGAGTACGAGAATGTCGTTAATATCGTAACAGCAAGAATAACAATGAAACGAAGTTTGACAGTGCAGAACTGTATGCATAAAAAGATTAAAGTCAAATTTTTAAATTGATGGCTTATCCGGAGAGAGAGAGAGAGAGAGAGAGAGAGAGAGAGAGAGAGAATTCTAGACGGAAAATTTTATATCCCAGTGCTACCACTCAAGTTACTTTTTACCATCTTTTTTTGAAAAATCATTACTAAAGTCATTACTGTCTAAAATGGCTCGCTATGGTTTTCTTTTTTTCTTGAGCATGATTCTTGAGCAATTTGTAAAACATAAATATTCTACACTGTTATAAATGTCATGAAATTTAATGTACTTTTAAGTTACATAAATTAAATTCAATTTTATGACACTAAATTAAATTTTATGTATCTGTAACTGAAAGGTATATTTGTATACATGTACATGAAATTTAGTGTGTATCATAAAATTTTATGAAGTTTAGTACATTTTTTATTAAAATTTTTTATCTGATGACTAGATGGTAATGCTCCAAATTCATTCGTTATCTCGGTTCTCTATTTCTTTCAAGCAGAACTACGTATTTCGTTTTTCCAAAGAGATGGAGAACATGTATTGCATTTCTGTTATTTTCTACGAACATGTCTTTGTACTTCGATCTTCGAAATATAAAAGAAAAGAAAAAGATTGGCGGAAAGAAAAATGAAGAAAAATACCGCCTTTCTGACACACATAAAGTTAATGATATATTCCCATGATATTGTTAAATGTATTGAAAGCTATCAAGATATTATTTTGAAATCTAAAAATAATTGCTACCAGGTAACGGACAGTCAGAAAACGAATTTTACAAATCGCAAACGACATTCTCGTAACAGAACTCATACACCACCGTGACTAAACGCAAAAATCAAAACTATAAAGTCCTGATGTTATTTTGCTGCAAAAGAAGCTTTTGTGGAAGACTACCGAGGTCTAACGAAGGATACATACATAGATGCAAACGCGAATACATATCGCGTTTACAAAAGGATTGAACGTTACAAATTAAAAAGAATCTAAATGCCAAAATTTATAAAACGCGGTAAAATGAAAATAATATATTTTATTTCTATATGCAGTAATCGATAAAGTTATATGTATCCGATATTCGCAATTATAGGAGATGAACTATTAAATTCTATTTTAAGGCTGCGAATAAAGTTACCGTTATAGTTATCATTGAATAAGAACAATAAGAATCTTATTGGACCATACATGTGGAAATACAAATAGGAAATAAAAGCTCATAATCGATCGAAGCTGAGCATTATCGTTGAATGTTTAAGAATTATATGGGCTCTTTTTATCATTAAAATTCTTTTAAACTATTATTCCTTTTGGCATCTAGACTTTTTAATTTGTTCAATTAGAAACTGCGTTTTCCTCGCAAATGCCACAATCAATATCAACATCAGTATTAGCATTGATAGCTGTATCAAGCTCGATGAGGTCATTATCGTCATCGTTACTATTACACGCGAGTGCTCATTACCCGCAGTCGGATGATCTCGCCCATAAAATCCTGTTAACTTTTTTTTCCGCCCCGGAAAGAAGCACGATAAATAATTATCACAGTCTGAACTATACGTCTAATCCCTACTTGCGCCCTACTTGCGGTACACAGCTTACATGACTAATCTACACACGGCCGCAATTATACCTCATTATTTCCAAAATATTCAATTCGTCGCTAGAAGACTCGTTACATACGTATGTATATATATATAGATATACAGAATGTTTCAGGTGTCGTGCGCTTTCTCTCAACTACAGACATTAGTCGAATAGAATATCCTGACAGTATCATTTTGGATTGAAGACCGTAAATATTTAATGAATGAAATGACAGATGTCATTCAAACAAAAAACCAAATTTTCTCTTTTGCGCTTAAATTAAGTTTATATCATAAGCTTTTTGAATATAAGCTATTTAATACTATATAAAACTGAAAAATAAGATATCTCGTCAAGATAAATTGATATTTTAAATCCGTAGTGGATGGAACGTGCACGAGATCCGCGACCGATATATATATATACGTTCAAAAAATGCAACGCTATAGTGCGAGCGAACCACATCGCCTCCCTCGCGTCCGCAGAATGTACAATCGAAGATAAATTAATTACAATTGTCGTTTGAGTCCTCAACGCGAGGCCCAAATAGAAGAGGTTCAATCGATATTCACACATTTTAATATTTTTGTCTTTGTACAAAAGAAGAAGCGCGTCTCTTATTGGTCTGGTAATAAAATAGTACCTCGGCGGAGACTCTGCGCGCGGATCGACTCTCGAACGGAGAGGGCTCCTGCCACGCGAGTTCCTTGTTGCACATCAAGATTCACACGTATTTTTCTTTCCTTTTTCTTTCTTCTCAATTTTTATGCACCAATATGGTGTACGGTTTAGACACTCAGGCTCTAAATAATATCTAGCCGAGTTTTACCCGTTTTTGTCGGACAATATTCGTCCGGATTCATCCCGAAACTAAAATTGGCCGTTCACCGTTTCTTATTCATCAATGAAGTCATTTTTGTACTGTCCAATTTGACCTCGAACCGAAAATATATCAGTGTGCAAACGCATGTATTTAAAACGCACTTACAATCGCATCGCATTGTACACTTAAAATGCTTTATAGAGGCCGGTTGTTAATTTCGTTCACGGTGTCATTTCAAAGAATTTAAGATTTAATAAAAAGCCTATGAATATCGAGAGTTCATGTCTCGGCTATTTGCTGCGTTATTTGTAAACGTGTCGCACCTTCAAGTTTAAGCGCATGATCCTGAGAGTTCACCTTCATCATTCGTAAAACGCGGTCTATTGCAAACGCTAGGCACCCCTCAACACGCTTTCGACTCGCTTTGTCGTCATTCATCCTTAAGAGTTCACCAGAGAACGCGGCACGCCAACGACGTAACGAGCAGGTCCTAAACGGTCCTAACGCATATATGCGTTCGTTTTCACGCCATTACGCTTCTCTCTCGTTCTTTCTGGTTCTCGCTTCACTGGGTCGCTCCCGCGGGTCGCCTTACTGTCAGGGTCTGACGAGAGGCTTACCTCCGTAGGGGGCGGGGTACTGTCCCGTCAACAAGGGATACCCGAGGCCCACGTGAGTGTGATGATGCGTGTGCACGTGTCTCTGTGGAGGCGGCGATCTGTTATCCTTGCCAAGGCTCCCACCGCTGGCATCCACCGCACCTTGTTGCTGCTGCTGACTACCCGGTTGACCCTGCTGTTTGCCGGATGGCTGCTGACCTTGGCCCGGAGGTGGGCCCGGGCCTGCAACTGACGTAGGCGGACCACTGGGGGGTCGGGCGGGGGTCGGACCCGCCGAAGATGGGCTGGCGGACGCTGCAGAAGTCTTGGGCGTCGGTGATTTGAGCGCGCGCTCCTGAAGCTCATGTATCTTGTGCGCCGAGTAATACTGATTAGCGTGGTGTTGGAGCAAGTCCAGCGCTTTGCCGCCGGGTGGCCGACTAAGATCCTCCGGCGCGTGATACCTAGGCAGCTGGTGAAGATAGGGGTTACTCGAATATGGACCGGGCACCAGCATGGGGCTGAGGCCGCGGTAGACTGGGTGACCTGGATCGAATGGCAGCGCACCATAATGCTGTGGCTGCATATAACTGGGATGAATATAAGCGTACTGCGAGGTAGGCGGCGGCGGCGGTCCCTGAGTCTCCATCGTCGGCTTTACGCCCTCCTGCTTGCTCTTTGAGTCTTCGCTCTTTCCGAGATCCTGTGGTTTTTCTTGCTTCGGCTGATGCTTTGGACTAGGCGGTGGCGCCTTTGCTTGTTGATTCTGTTTGTTTGATTCCTCTTTTCTCCTTTGTTCACTCGGATACAGATAATACCTCCTGTCATCTTGAACAGGTCCCGGAGGAGGTGGCGGCGGTGCCGCTCGTTGACTCTGCGAACTGTGATAAACGTGGTACGGACTCATCTGACTCTTCATCTCGATACTCTCCTTGAGTATCTGATGATTTTCGTGTTGTTTGTCTTTCAGACTCGGCTGTGGCTGTGGCTCCTGCTTAATCTTAGTCTTCTGTTCATGCGACTCCTGATCCTGCGACTGCTGACTCTGTTGCTGCTGTTGCGAAACCGGCTGCGGTGGCTGGTAGGCGTAGCCTGGTGGCATATAACCACCGTAACCACCATAATAGTGCGGCTGCTGTTGCGGCTGCGGTACAGGTTGGCTCAGTTCTTTCTTCTCTTTTTCCGACACGACACTCTGCAAGCTCGCCATCGAAGGCATCTGCGGTATGTTGAGCGGTTTTATCTCCTGCTTGGGCGTAAGATCGCTCGGCTTCTGATCTACCACCGGTTTGCTGTCCGGAACGTTGGACACCAGGTAAGGCGGCTGACCATAGTACTGATACATACTGAAATGCGCAGGCAGATGCGCTGGCACCGTGGCCTTGTTGTCTTTTTCTTGACTCTGTTTGGACTTGTCTACCGGTTCGGCCTCGAGCACTGGCGCTGCGTCATCCGATATGTCCGAGTAGGCCGGGCTTTGTACATCATCGCGCGCCGAATCGACGATCGGCGCCTCGAGAGGCGATGGGTGCGGACTGCCACCGGGTGATTTTCGCGATTTTTTCTTGTAGCTCTGTGGTTTGGGAGCACGTGCATCCGCGCTCGTTTTGCTCTTGTCCTGCTCTGGCATCAGCGCAGCCGTAGGTTTTACCTTGAACTGTGGCATCTTCGTCGCAGCAGCGTGCAACGACACCGCAGTTGGGTACTGTTGCAAGTGCGATTGCACGCCCTGACCTGGATGACTTGGTGGTGGCGGTGCCGTCTGTAAACCCGCTGCCTGTTGCGACACTTGATTTGCAAGATTCTGCAAACCCGCGTGCTGACTGGCTATACTTTGTAGACTGGCCTGTTGCTGTAATCCAGACGGCTGCACCACATGGGCCTGCGCGGGCTGACCCAACTGAGCTGACAAGGGATGCTGCACCGATTGCAATTGATGCGCCGGCGGCAGCTGTTGTTGAACCGATGACTGCAATTGTTGTTGTTGCTGCTGCTGCTGCTGCTGCTGCTGCTGCTGCTGTTGCTGCTGCTGACTGCTGACAGGTTGTAGCTGCTGTTGAGGCGGTTGGCCGACTTGCTGCAACGATGGCTGCGGTTGTTGCAGAAGAGGATTCTGCGATTGATGCGATTGTTGCATCTGAGACGGTTGCGGTGGCTGCGGGATGTTGAGGGGCTGGGGAATATTCGTACTTGGATGTGGCGAAGGCACAGGCCTGGGGGACTGACTGGGATGGGGACTGGGGCTTTGGGGCGGATTTGACGAGACTAAAGACGACTGATTCTGTTGTTGTTGTTGTTGTTGCTGTTGCTGCTGCACAGATTGCTGCTGCTGCCTCGATGGCGCCGTAGAAGTGGGCGCCGGAAGATCGTCCTGGCCGAACCTGAGTACGCCCGGCTTGACGATGCTTTTGTCCGCAAGCACAGGCGTAGGCGGTTCTATGCTGGGTGATGGGACTCGTGGAGGGGGCACTTCACTGGCGTGGCAGGGCTTGGAGCTTCGATATTGCTCTCATCATTTTCCGACATACTGGTGATACCTTCCTTGGTGTCATCGTCGTCGGCAGAGCCATGCGCGTGGCTCTGATGGTATTTGAGTCCGTTAATGTGTTTGTACTTTTTACTGCAGTTCGGCTCGGGACATTCGAGCAATACTGGACTAGCAGGTGGTGAACCGCTGGGTGGCGTCGGTGGCGGCGCCCGTCGCTTGTTCTTGTCCTGTTCCTCCTCGGGTCCGCGCGACTTCCGCTTCGCCGCCGGATCTGGTCGTGGCGGCACGAATGCCGCTGGGCTCGGACTAGCCGCAGGTGAACCCTGTGCGCCCCGACGACCCTTACCGCCGTTGCGCAGCTTACTGTGCACGGAACTCCTCGTCTCTGTGAAGTTACTCAGGTCGTTGCCGGGCGTGGAGTTGGCCGCGGCGCGGCCGCGCTTACCGCGACCCTTAGGCGTGCGGGCATCCAGATCGCTAGTTGGCGAGTCACAGAAACGTGGTGGCGCCCAGTCATGACGTGTGCAGTCCAGCAACGTCCCGACGTACGTCTTACCCCTCCACGTAACATTTACTACTAGTACACCTACGACAGAGAAAAAATATCTTAATCATAATGATCGACAGAAGCAATTCCTTCAAGCCTCATAACTGTGTTATAATCTTTTATACCAAGTTTGACTTGCCTAGACGTTTATTAAAATCTCGTTAAAAAAATCCCTAAAAATTCCAAATATTTTTGTACAAAATTCCAAGTAAGATTAGAGAATTTTTGAATTGTGATTGGATTATGCTTTTAGATCTACAGAAATAGTCCTATCTGAACAAAGAAAAACTTCCAACGGTTGCAAAATGAACAATTTCTGCTGAAGGCGGTCATTTATCAGTAATTTCTGATTAAACAAAAACTTATGCATGTCACAACTTGGCTCAAAGCGATTCGGTTTCGAGTAAGAGAAATAAATGAAGAAAAAAAGAAGACGACAAGAATCTCGCGTTGGACAAAGAAATACGATTGTGTATATCGTTTTGCTGACGGAACAACGCGTAAAGCTACAGCGAAGGAAAAACCGGTCCTAAAATATAGCGGTTTTAACCCCCGGGGGCCCCCTCGAGCAGTTTCATCGCGTAATAAGTTTCGTGGCAACCTGCAGACGAGCTAACTCGCGTCTGTTTCCTTCCTTTCCTCCTCACGGTTCTTCGTTCTTGCGCGATCAGCGCTGCTAATTGAAAATATCTCGCCTGTGCACGTGCAAGAAAACGCGACGTTTCGCAGGTGATCTCGACGATGATGTTGCAGGTGTTCTCGGCCGCGGAACTCTCGTGTTCCATACAAAGTGCGCGGCTAAATTACTTTCGCGTTCGCGTAATAGGGAGAGTCGACGTAAATCGAATCGGCACCGCGGGGCGCCGCACCAGATTCAAATGTCAAAGCTTCAGGGAACGAACGACGTGATCTTCAAGTGAGAGAAAAAGATAGTTTTACATTAACGCTGTTCTTGGGTTGTGTTTCCATTTGACGTTCGCTTTCAGAATTTCACTCTTATTGTTTATCAAGTGTTAAATAAGGGCAAATAATATTTGCGAGCGTTGTGAACGCCAAGTAGAATGTTGCTTAGCGTAAAAGTATTAATTATAAAGCTAAAAAAAGAAAGAAGAAATGTAGCTCTTTTAAAACAATGAGACTGTTATGGGAATGCTGGAATCATCTGTAATACCGACGAAACGCGCATTTCGTACTTTGTTTTTTTTTTATACAGAATAAAAAATCCTTCTCCAAAATAAAAGAAAAAAAGCTGGAAAAGCTGTGGAAAAACCAATAGCTGTGAGAAACTACAAACCTGTATAAAAAAATACAAAAAAAAAAAAGAAATTATAGTTCCTGTTATCACGTAGGGTATTTTTTCACATAATATGAATGATTCCAAGTATCTATTCAAACAAAAAGTAGTTTCCCACATTTGAATAATGTATAAGAATATAATGAAACCAAATCAAATTATAATTTTGAAGCTTGCTGCAGTGAAGTAAATCTGAAAGTACATTATCTTGCATTCATACGATACATAGGATACAGCAGAGCAAGAAATATATATAAAATTTTATTTAATGTTCTACTTGGTATACATTATGTTTTATTTTGGAATAAAAAAATCTGTTTTCTCGACATCGATAAAATTCGACCGTCGCTCCAGCATATCCCCTGAACATTGTTCTTGAAATGTTGTCCAGTACTTCGCATCGTATTAATTCGCATCGAAAGTATTAATTATAAAGTTAAAAAAAAAAAGAAACCTAAGAGAGATCTGTTTTCAAACCATTAAATTCGAGAGAAAAGATATTTTAAATGCGCAATATCAGCCGGAGATGAAGCTGAGTCCATAGACAAGAAAGAATTCTTTATTTTCATCTTCGCTGGGATTAACTCTTTCTTTACAAGGTGATTCTCTCCCCGATGGGGTATCGTTTAAAAATAGATACCTCCGGAATGAAAACGTCCATGGAAGATCGTCGAAACGAGCCTCGTCGTTTGCATCTGTGAGCTAACTCCCTCTTCGCGGACTCTGATCGTGAATCGAGAACCGAAAATAAAGGAACGAGTAGCGAGCCGCGTCCGGGGGGGGGGGGGGGGGAAATAGAGGCATAAAGAGAACAATAAAAACAGCGGAAGTTCCAAGACGACCGTAGTTCCTAAAAGCCACATGACACCATGTTTCTCCTCCATCTGTCAGACACACGTCTCGCTCTTTTTCTCTCCTGTCTCGAGGGTGAGACGAGATGTCTCGTTGCTCCTTTCTTCACCCCGCGACGTGCCCCTCATTTCGCTCTGTTCCTCTTTTCCCTTCTTTCTCGCCACGCGGCAGAAACCTCGAGGCATTTTGGTTGATTGAGTCGTCCCCTCGCGCATCGACGTCATTCCCATTTGCTGCGGAAGATAAACGTATGGGCGAGCACCAGGGGATGATGATAAATCCGTGCATTTCACCCCCGTTATGCGCCTTTTCATCTCATCTACTTCCAAGCTTCGTTTCCCCTCAAATTAACGTTACTTCCTTTTATTTTTCTTCTTTCATGTGTACTTTTATGCGAACCCTGACAATGGGTCGAATGAGGAATAAATGACCAAATTACTCTCTAATAATTTGGAAAAACAATTCGATTTCACGTCAATACACATTTCACTTTTAATAAGTAATTACTCTTAATGAGTTTGGAACAAAACTATTACATAAAAAAACTAGTAAAAAAAAGAAATATACAATATATTATATATGCTCGTATTACGCAACGCGATATAATAAAGTAAATGGTCAAAGAAATGAACAAGTATAGATATAACAAAAATAGTTTATTATAAATAAAAAAAGAACGTGTTTCAAAAGTTCAACACGAAGTTTTTTTTTCATATAACAATTAGAGCAAAAATAAATTAATGATATAAATATAATTAAAAATATATTGTAACGTGAAGATTAAATGAAAATATAATGATAGAAAAAGGTTATTAAGAGGTTATATTAAAAGGCACATAAATAATGTAATAAATAAATATATATGATGTAAAAAATCAAATCAAACAAATTTTTGAAAGTCAAAAAAGTAAAATATAGAGCCATGTCTTCGTTATTCTAAAAAGAAATATAATAATTTTTTCATTTCAAGTGAAAAAGTAAATTATTGATAAAATTTCGGACGTTAAAATTGTTTGGTCAAGTTAAACATTTTTTTTTACTAAAATCTTCTAAAAAATTTTCTGAGATACCTGGAAAATTTTCTTAAATTCAAAATTCCAAGTAAGATTAGAGAATCTTTCAATACAAATTCTTTTTTTAAAATAAATTGGAGTGCAAGGAATTCTCAAATAAAAAATATAATGGAAATTGATGTGAAACACAGGAATTAGTAGAATGCGAGATTATATCATTTTCTACAATTAGAGCGAAATTTACAGGATTAGGGAAAAGGCTTACTATAAAATAGCATCAGTAAACACTATACTTATTTTCTACTGTCATTCTGATTTTTTTATTATAGAAAAGTTTGCATGGCGAAAAAATTGCATGTACGTGAATATGCGCAGATGTGCGTACTTATTGCTAACTGATTGTAAACATTTTGCATTATAAAAAAAAATTAAAAACTAATTTTTCAGAAAGACAGAATTTTAATTTAAAAATAAAATTCCAAAAATTTTTGTATTCGATAAACTTCTGTCCCTGATTTTTAAAAATAAAAAAAAGTTCTCTAAAAATTCCAGATTTTCTCAGATACTAAATAGTTTTACTACATCTATACTTGCTCATTCCTTTGGTCTTACTATAAGAAAAATCAAAATAGGGAAAATTATCAAGATATGAATAAAAATTAAAATTAACCGCCTGATGTTTTTTCGTCTTTTGTGATACAATATTTTTCTCACAATGTAGTCTCTTATTGATGTTGTCTTACATAATAATAGCTATTAAACGAGTTCATCTTTAAGTTTCACATTTGGCCTCGCGGTCGACTGCTCCTAGAGTTAATAGAATTTCCCGCGACACAGTAAACGAATAATCACACGGTTCGCCCCGAAGAGATTGCGATCGCGGCAGCTGTTCGCGAAGTCACATCCGAGCATTATTATTTGTCCGTTGCTCGTTTGCTGCAAAGAGACACAGGCGTCATCATCGCCGACTTGGGTTTCCTCTTCCTGAAAGTCAGTGGACGATAAAGGAGCTCTTTTCCGAAACGGTAGATTTGTGGTTGCAGGAAACACAGAAGGAAGAGGAACCGCACGAGGATGAGGAAGAAAAAAAGCCTTCGTAGCCACGGCGTAAAACAACGAGTTAATCTCTTCTCTGGTGATATCATAACAATTGCAATATCTCGATGCTGGGGGAAGCTCTCTTGGTATCATAACAACGTCTCGTAAAATCTGGTGTTAGCCGCCCTCCGAATGATGACAATCGCAGTCGTTGTTAAAACGAGAGATTGGCTTTCGGTACAGTGCGGATTTTTCCTCCTACCGAAAACTCATCATACGAAAGTCTCTTCCGGTACTCGAGTGAAGCAGGTATCTCGTTCATCAATGTACCGAAGGAAGCATTAAACTTTGAGGGAGAGCACATTTCACGTCAAATCCGATTTTGACGGATTAGCATTTTAGTGGGGAAAAATCATTGTCAAACGCTGCTTGACAAACGCAAATAGACAGGAAACGTCAGAATGATTTTTCGACATGTTGTTTATAACATTTGTTCGCCACCTAATCGCTGGAAACACGATAATTTTTTAGTGTGGCAATCGTTGCATCAGATGAATATTTTAACTCAAAAATAAAATTCAAGTAAAACAAAATTTAAATTTAATACTGGATATTTTCAAATATGGAACATTTATAAATTTTATTTAAAATATTTTAAAAATATTACAAACATATATATATATGTGTGTGCGCGCGCGTGCGTGTGTGTGTGTGTGATAGAATATGTATGCATGTGTAGAAGGGATTAATAGTTACGATGCGGTCAGATGATACACCGACGATATCGCGCGCTCGATAAAGTTCGCAAAGCAGAGCGAAGCGGAACAAAGCGATGCAGCTGC